TAACCAAACAACCAAAATGGCAGTATGAATATTATATAGAATAATCTTTAACACTAAAGGAGTTTGTCACTGTTATTAATAGTGTTATTTTTCAATATCTAAATGTACACTACTTACTGGACAACAAGTCTACATGATGGAAAACCAACATAATCTATGTGTATATGTATATAAGATATAAACACACATAAGCATATAGGTATGTAGGAAACACTGATTTTAGCTCATGAGACATAAAAGCATTGATCACAGAGGGGTGACATCATCCAAGATGGTGAAATGGGTAGTTCCCACTTCAGTCTTTCTCACAGAACGCTCAACTAGCAGCTATCACACGAGACACCATTGGGCAAATCTCAGTACTCAGGAGTGAGGCTGAAGTACCACCTCGACCACAGAGACCAAGACTTCTATCTCTTGGGGCGCCTGGGTGGCTCAGTCAAGCATCTGCCTTCGGCTCAGGTCATGATCCCGGGGTCCTGGGATCGACCCCCACATCGGGCTCCTTGCTTCTCCCTCTGCCTGCAGCTTCCCCTACTTGTGTTCTCCCTCGCTCACTCTCTCTGACAAATAAATAAATAAAATCCTTAAAAAAAAAAAAAAAAGACTTCTATCTCTTGCTATTATGAAGACACATCCAGATTTTGATGAACTGCCAGCGTTTTCTCCTCAAACAGCAGTGGGTAAAACTATTGAAAATTGAGAATGTTCCTGTTTTAAACATTTTTTTTTTAAAGATTTTATTTATTTATTTGAGAGAGAGAGAATGAGAGATAGAGAGCATGAGAGGGAAGAGGGTCAGAGGGAGAAGCAGACCCCCCGCCCAGCAGGGAGCCCGATGCGGGACTCGATCCCGGGACTCCAGGATCACGACCCAAGCCGAAGGTAGCCGCTTAACCAACTGAGCCACCCAGGCGCCCGAGAATGTTCCTGTTTTATCTAAATGCAAAGAATGATGCCCTGAACACATACTTCATGGTGACTTGTATCAGTGTTACAGGTCAACCACAAACAGCATCTCCATTCAGGTTTTCTTCACACTGCCCATTACAGTGTCCTTAACTTGCCACGGAAAAGTAGGTATTGGATGGACTCCCTACTATATAAATGCCCCTCTTATCTGTGAGACAGCAACAAACAAATGATTTTACATGTACACTAGCAATAAAGGCATGAAATAATTTATGAGTAAAGTTAATGATATTTGCCATTCAAAAATACTCAGATATGGTCAAAAGAAAGAAAGACACACTGTCTTAAAGTGGGGCTTTCCTCGAGATGTTTATACCCTCAGTCTCTTCTGGCACTAAAATTTCATTATGGGTAATTGTCCCAGTTTGGTTATATCTATCATAAAATCCTTCCTGCCCTTTTCTACCCTCCTCCCTCCCCAGGCACATTCCCAGTCACTCATTAAGTATAAATACTCAGGGCCACAGCTTTCATATCTTTCCATATCACTCTATGGAAAGAATATTCTTTGTCTTTGCCAATAAGCCTAGGGCTTAAGAAGATATAATTGAAAGACACCAGGTAATTATCTCACTTACTACACTTAATGTAAATAGACATCAAAATGCTAATGTACAAAATTAATACCCATCATAGAACATCAGCAGAATGGAGAAATAAGAACCACCAGGACTTTGCTCCTCCATGGAGACGAAAATGGACCAAACTACCTTTTTCAGTGCTCCAGAAGCCAGTTAGAAGACCACAACACCACAGGCAGACACAAAATGAAGGAGAGTCACATTGAAGAGACCAGGAGTTTGTCACACTTGCCTATAATAGTTGTTCACGCTGCCTAGCATTCCATAACAAGATTGTGAGAAAACGCTCACCTCTCCTCAGGAGAGAAAGACATAAGTGACCTCTTATGTTTAATGATCTGGATTCTGCAGCTGCCTGATAGACCTCTTCCTCTCGTGCAGGACATGGAGGGCTGAGGGCACCCTCTGGATGCACTATGGCGGCCGCTCAGAGAAAACCTGAGTACTTGTTCAAACAGCAGAGAAACGGCAGAGCTGAAGGCAAACATCAGGGAGAGGAAGGTATCATGGGCTCCAAAGAAGGAAAAAAAAACAAAACACTTTTACAACTGGAAAATGACAAAAACTCAGATATTACATATCCCCAAAACATGTTGACAAGCCCCAGAATTAGCAGCACAGCTGACTGTTATTTGTGTTCTCCTGTCAAAGGAAGTACATAAAGCCTGGGACCAGAGGCCATTTCTTTTGCTTGTTTGTTTTAATTCCCAAATCTCAACAAAGGATCACAGGGCATACAAAAAAAAGAAAAAAAAAAAACAGAAAAGTAAGTCCCAATCAAAGGAACAAAATAAAAGACCCCAGACTGGCCCTAAATAAATAGAGAACTATTAAATGCCTACAAAGAATTCAAATAACCATCAGAAAGATGTTCATACAGGAAGAAAAGAGATAGGAAAATAAATGATATCAGGAAAACTATGCATGATCAAAACAAAAATCCAAAGAGGTAGAAAGTATAAAAGACAACAAAACAGAAATTGGGAGCTAAACAGAACAATTACTGAATTTAAAAATAAACTGGGGACGCCTGGGTGGCTCAGACGTTAAGCGTCTGCCTTCGGCTCAGGTCATGGTCCCAGGGTCCTGGGATCGAGCCCTGCATCAGGCTCCCTGCTCAGCGGAAAGCCTGCTTCTCCCTCTCCCACTCCCCCTGCTTGTGTTCCCTCTCTCCCTGTGTCTCTCTCTGTCAAATAAAGAAAATCTTAAAAAAAATAAAAATAAAAATAAACTGAAGAATCAGCAACAGACTTGATTAAGCGGAAGAAAGAATCAGACATCTTTTTTTTTTTTTTTTTGAAGATTTTATTTATTTATTTGAGAGAGAGAGAGCGAGCACGAGCAGGTGGAGTGGCA